CTTACTGTACGGTCGCAATTATACATTTGAAAGCGCTAGATGTAGTCTCTCGAATTTCCATGTCAGCATTTACTGTTTTCATTCGTTATTTCATCGAGAAATTAATTCTTTTTTTATCCTTTTAAGGCTCGTTGGTTTTACGGACACTCGGTCATAAACGTGGTTTCCAGGACGAAAARCAAGTCAACGCCATCAGTGCTAGGGATTTCTTCAAGAGATTTTCATCTCTTCGGGAATTCTTCCTGAAACAGCTCCAGTCGTTTTCGACAAAACACCAAGAGAAGTCCTTTCTAAGACCGGAATTATTTCCAGTTTTAACACTTTTGTCAAAATTACGGCCGGCCGCATGTGACGTGGAAGAAAAGTAAGTATTATTATTATTTTTATACAGAAACAAGCAAACACCACTAAAACAAAGAAAACCAAAAAACAAGCAAATATCACTAAAACAACAACAACAAAAACAGCAAAAACCAAAAACAAAGGAAATCAAAAACAAATGGCAAAATCCACTAAAACAAAGAAAACCTCAAACCAGCAAAAACCAAAAACAAAGCAAAAATAAGCAAAAACCAAAACAAACAAACAAACAAACAAACAAACACTAAAACAAAGAAAACCAAAAAACCAAAACAAGACAATAACATAAAAAAGCATCCCAAAAATCCCCCTTAAAAAAACAATAACACCCCCTTAAAAAAACAATAACAAAACCACACAAAAAATCATACAAAAAGGATCTGTTTCTAATTTTATATTGTATTCTAATATATTTTAAGCTTACTTGCTGATTTTGTGCCTGTTTTGACTCCACTCTCTGCCAACCCAGTCTACGCTGTACGTGCTTTGGCTGCCCAGGCTCTGGTACCGTTTATTCCCGTGGAAAAAGTCTTCTGTAAAGCAGCTGAGATACTACGTTCTATACCTTTATCTCTTCGTGACATTTCACAGAACAGAATACATGGAACACTTCTACAGGTAAAAAAGTCCACCTTGCATCGATTATTTCCTTAGTTTGTGTTTGWATAGCAATACAGTTTGTACAATGAACGCATGATTGTGTAAAAACACAGAACAATTGTGCTGTGACTGTGATGTCACGTGATCAACTAGCCGCTTCCCTTATCACTTTTTTATACTTTACAAAATATACCTAAATATGAAACATCAATTTACCCTTAGTTGTATCTTCATTGTGTGAATGGCTGTCTTGTAATATTTCCTATGAAAAACGGACGAATGGAAACGATTTGTATACGGATATTTGAAGTACGATTTTCTGTATGAGAGACTGAATTCCCGGCAGCTACGACCACATTGCATGCTGGGTGGTGATAGCCCTTTTGTGTTTTATTTCGTTACTCTTGCACCCAGGTCTTGTTTGTGCAGTAATCTGCTGTGATAAACATTTATACGAAGTATTGTGATCCGATATGTCCATTATGTCATGATAGAGAGGTTGTAAAACAGCATGTATGACTGACTACTTTCAAAATACTTGAATGACGCTAAATAACACTTTTGTAAGCCGTATAACTACTTATTGCACAGGTCCATCGTCTTGTCGATTCTCTTGCCAATCCTCGAGTTACTGAGCAGGCTTTACAGATTATAACAGAATTGTGTAGCAGGTCCTGGCTTGGGACCAGTAATAACGCATGRGCAGTAACCAGAGCTGAGTACTTGACATTGGTTTTGGATGTATATTCGCTGATTGGTAGCAAAGGTAAAGCTAAATATGGATTAAGTTTGTCTCTATGCATAATATGACGTATTTARAGCTGTTTTAAAGAGGTTGAGTAATAATTTCGCTATTTTCTTTGAAGGTGATAGTCTCGTGTCTCTTTCTACGTGCCTTAACGCTGACCCAGTTGAGGGAAGTGGCATAATAGTTGGGCTGCCATGTCTTCAACGTGCCGTACTTCGTGTCAATATGGACATCGTAAAAAGGGATTCTTCATCTGAAGGTAACAATTCTTTATTCTCTGTCCAAGTCCATCAAGTTGTCTCTGCGAAACACAGAAAAAGTCTAGAAGCCATTTGAAATATGCAGTGTATGTTAGTGATGGTGTTACAGTCAGGGGGATGGGGGAGGGGCAGACTCGTTGAACAAGAGCTAATAAAAAGTATCTTTGTCTGTAATTCTTAATTCTATTCTGGTAAAAAAATCTCAAAAATGTTCTTTTCAGGGTTTATTGATGCAAAGCGTCACGTCGCCATCATGGAGAAGAGTCTTTTTAGCGTGGAACGAGAAACAAGAATTGCAGCACTAGAATGTCTTAACGAACTRTCCGAAAATAATCACGTGATCATCCTTGAACTTGACGAATCTTTGACGTCACTAATTTCCATGGAAACAGACCAACGCTGTTTGCTGTTAGCCTTGGAATATTTTATCAACGTAAAGCGACAATCTGATCAAATTACAATAAAAGACTGGGACTTATTATGGGAAAAGTTACTTTCGTACACCCAGGGATCACGTGGATCYACTGTCCAATCAAAAGCAATTGTCGTCCTTAGTATTTTACTAAGGTGTCGTTTGCGTCAATCAAGTGACATTCAACAGTCTGTTTCTGTGGCAACTGACTGGTSTTATAGTATCAGTGAATGCAGTTTACCGAACAAACCTGAACCAGTTCGAAYTGGAGCAGCGTTAGGAATCGGGATAGCTGGAGCTGAATATCTCTTTTGGGTCGAAAAATATCGAGATTGCTCATCGTTTAAGAGCTCTATAATGGAGGCTGTTGTAAGGTGACTAGCTCATTAAAAACTCAGTATTACCCTGGGTGCTTTGCGATCGTTGGTATCTGATTGGTCGGCTTAGCCATACTAAGCTTTTTGAAATCGTAAATTGCCTGTGGTAATTTATGCGCGTAATTTTGGTTTCTTGCTTTATTGAAAGCCCATTAAGTTTATACAGGCTATTTCAATAAACATCTCAATATATTGCCCGGAATGACTGTCAAAATAAGTTTGTGTAAAACGAAATCATGACGAGGCTCGCAAAGCATCRAGGGTAATACCAGACCTATACGGAGGTATAGGTCTCACAGTTCCATGTGCATCAGTAGAGCAAGGCATAGACCGGATGATACCGACACTGGTGAAAAACGCACTGCGCATGCCCACAGCTTTCCCGCCAGTGGGCGCTCGCGTCTTGAAATCTGTAAACAGAGCGCCTGGCGATTTACAGCGACAACACAGAAAACACTACGAAAAAACTCATTTTCTCAAAATAGAAATAACAAGATAAAAATAGAAACTACATACTAAAAGGACCTATCATGAACAATGATTGATGAAAATATGAATCTTATATATCGGTGAACGAGCTTATAAATTGTAAAAAACTTTCACAAAAATCGCTTTACAAAGGAAATTAGGCAGATTTAGCGGGGAAGCTGTGGACATGCGCAGTGCGTTTTTCACCAGTGTCGATGATACCTAAATATCATCAAAGAATGTTAAGTTTACGATATAATACGGAAATTTCACCGTCACAATGTGCAGAGATGTTTACAAGCGCAATTCAAAATGGCACTGAGAACTGCGAGAGAAAATGGTAGAAAGTTTTAATTGTCTGCCAAGGAAAAGAAGTCAAGTGAAAAGCTGATAATGTGAAGGTTTTATATATGAAATTTTGCTAATCACGAATTTTGATTAAAATTTCTAGAATTTTCCAAACCGGTTTGATGTTACTGGAAGACGAACAAGATGACGTCAGAATCGAAGCCTCTAATTTTGGCGCCAAAATCCATAATCACCGCGATGAACACTTTGATTTTAAGAYTGTCYCGTGCTCCGTTTCCATGGAGTCAATCTTTAAGTACATGTCGCAAAATTTCTTTTGGTCGTCAGAAGTTTGGTCTGTAATGTTGGTACTAATTCGAGGGCGTCACTCTGTACCAGACCTCCTTTCTGATTATGCTAAGTCACGGTAAGTAGTGATTCGAAAAGAGTTCTGATTATTGTACTCACAAACTTACATAGACCGTTGTGGTTGTTCCAAGGCGGATTCTGTTTGAACAAGAAGACTGTAACCTGTATGCCGAACCTTTCGTTACTATCCAGCTTGGCTGCAAGTACTTAAAGGTATAGAATTCGGTTTTTTTTACTTGTTGTTTTGCTTAGTATACTAATGTTTTGAGGGTTGGTATTTTGTTGTTATCGTCGGTTGATGGATGAAGTGGAKATTCTTTGAATTCATATTATCATTTTTCAGGAAATGATCGATATTGCTTTCTCTGAAAAGAATGAAACAACTACTTCAAATCTTAGAGTTTGGTCTCGGATAATGCTGGAAACCGAATATAACAAATTAAAAAGTGACCTTTATATCCTTAGAAATGAAGGTAACGTTCAGAATACTAATTTGGTGGAAGAGCAATTTCATCTAAATCGTTCCTTCTCATATGATATTTTGTGCTAAATTTTTGTAAATATTAAAATAAAAGAGTTCTTGTATGGGAAATTACCTACCATTACATTTTATTAACATATAGATAGTTTCAAACTGTTCACTGCAACGTTTACATGAATTTTATTCAGGTAGTGATCAAGATGGCGGATCACTTCAGAATCCTAAGTTATTCACGCTTCGGTATCGCCTCGTTGTGATGTCTGACGTCATGAAATACCTCAGCTCCTCGCTTGGTAACCCTGTGTTCTTCGACAAAGAAGATTTATCAGGACAAATAAGGGATGTTTTATTACAAGTGAATAAGGTAAAAGTTAARTTCAGCCATACAGTTTTATTTGTAAATTAGCTTAGTAAAATGAAAAATGTACATTGAACTGGTATWATACTGGCTTGTTTGTCTTGTTTTCAGACGTCTGTAGGATGTCATCCCATTCTGTACGAATTACACACAAAGGACGACTCCCATTGACTATAGTGAGTTAGTTGCTTAGTTAGTTAGTCCGTTTATAATACGTATATTAACAGAAGTGAATATATAGTTCTAATATTAAATGAAATGTTTTCTGAGCCGAGGAACTTGATATTTAAGGACATTCGAGGGCATTGCTAGCTACTGCGCACGCTTTTTGCGCACGCAAAAACCGGAAGTTGTCACGAAATTGCATCACGCAAAACTAAGATGGCGACCGCTCTTGTTATGTGTTTGTGAGGTTTTGTACGTACTTTTCTGAACTTCTACTTGTATGCAAAATCTCTTCACGTTCAAAACATGGGAGATTTACTACTGCTAAAGAATTGATGAGGCGAAAAAGTGTTCAAAATGCTCTAAAAAGTCGTAGATTGGCAGAAAAAAGTCTCTCGCAATTCAAGATGGCCTGCAAAATCTTAGGTTTCGTGACGAAATATCTCGACAACGAACCCGGTAACCCCAATTTCTATTTATCTTAAAAGAAGGCAACTTGGAAAAAATATAACATATGTGAAAGCGGAAAAAACGACATCAGAGGTTTCTGAAATTTAGCAGTTTTAGCTGGAAATGACACCTCTTCTTGACGTCGAATGTGGAGGCTTTACACCGACAAAAATCCTAAAGAAATCAAAAATCACATCATGTAATGTTTCAAAGTCTCTTAAACAATATTAACATTATATTAACAATATTATCGACCTAAGAAAAAAAAAATCGAGCATGATCTGTACCGATTTTTTTTAAACCAAATGAAATATTCAGCTCAATTTTCAAGTACCTTTTTTCGTCTTTTATATTTGGGTTAACCCACCCCCTACAAATGGTCCGTCCGTTTTTTTTTGATAAATTCAGAACAATTACAATAATCACCGAACATGAATCATTGAACATYAACAATTTTTTCAGTGAGCATTGTCAACAATTTGTCAACATTTGCTCTTCTTTAATTTTCTCTCGGAAATACACTCCAAAATTCATAATTACATTAGTTATCATTGTTTGCTGTGTACATTGACATATGTACTTTTCTAGCTAACGCAAACATGAACTATATTCGCGCGGGGAAAATATTAKAAGCAGACCTGAAGGAATTGCYTGCAGTTTTACCCGGCGTTMAAATTCCATTGATAACTTTCTGATTTCACCTATAAACCCAGTTATTATAAACTGAATCCTTAACGGTTTTTGATATTTATTTTAGTTATTTAGAGCACTGCTTTCTTTATTTGATGAAGATGGTGTTGATATTGCTTGACAAGTGTGCTTTTCTTGCTGGAATTGTCAGTCGAAATTGTCAAAGAAACGTCATTCAGGCTTTATGGTCTAATTCATTAACTATTTGACTGAATTTTTTTGGTTTTCTATTTGTTTTCTTTCTTTCTTTCTTTTCTTTCTTCTTTTTCATTAATTATTATTTTTTTGCTTCATTCACCTTGTCCAATAAGTGGGATTTTCTAGGCGCCACATGTAATCCTCCTCTAAATATCAACGGTACCGTTCAATTTCTTGAAAAATAATGGTTGATGCTGTGATGAATATTTATGCTGTCTTTTCAATGCCCAAACATATTTCTTGGTCATATAAGATTGTTATTTGTAGCAATGTTGACGTCAAACAGGAAACTAGTTTGTAGATTTTCCTGGCCAGTTTATATTACCCTACCCAATGCCCGTATACTGTGTTATTTTCTCTCAATATCATTGAATAGCATGAGCTTTGTTTCTGATTGAATCACTCTTTGCTTTCAAGATGAACTTCTCGTGTGATGACAAGATCTCGTTTCTCATTTCTTTCAGCTCTGTTTCTCTCTCCCTTTTCTAAATTTGATGGTTCGCTTCCCACCTGCATTTTTCTGCATTTTCTATGCCAGCAAAGTATTTTAAAATATTCTTTTCTGAATGTAGGATTCATGATCCCATAAAGTAAAGGATTGATAAAACAACTCCCGCCTGCAAAAAAGCTGTAAGCGACATAAGCTTGTCTTGGCAG